GGTTTGAGGGCTCACGGGTCGGAGGGCAATTCGGTTTAAGGAGTGGATATGTCTGACTTGCTTGTGAAGGTGCAACGTATCCTGTTGGTTGGTTTTGCTGTGCAAAAAACTTTCACTACGATACCACGATCATTGCCACCAGGATACTATCGTTGAGATTTTGTAACAGAGAAGAGTTGGAACCTGCCGCATCGCCATTTGTCTCCTGTTTTGCCAAGTAACTAGGAACACTCGTATAAGGTTCGTTCGACCTGGAAAAGATGGCCCTGCCGAGGATGACTAAATTAACTATGTACAGATTTTGTTTATGTACTGACCGTACACGGGAATAAAGAATGCTCGACTTCGGCGTTTGCCGCATTGTTTCTTAGTGGGGTTTCTTGTGTAGTGTAGAGGCTGTTTTAAGTGCTACACTACTGCTAAAGTTAACGTCCAACTCTGGCCCGCGGGCCGCCAGTTGAATAGGCCTGCCATACATCAACCATCATGTTAGAAACACTTTCAGAACAATTAGCTACAGCTGTTAAAACCCCACATACAGTAGATTGATTAGTAATGTGTCTGTCTGGAGTAGAATTAGAAATATATAGATATAGATATATATATATAGATATATAGATATAGATATAGATATATATATATAGAGAGAGAGAGCCCATTCCTCATGGGGTGCAGTAAAGGCTTCAGAACATCTGTAGAAGTGAGTCATTGACGTAATAGTAGTTACTCCGTCATTCTCCTCCATGTTTTAAATCCTTCTCCGCCCTCCTCCAGATGATGGACAGCGCCACAACCAGCTTCCCGTCCATCCTGAGTCACATGACCAACTCCTTCCTGAACCACGAGGTCTTGCCGCTGCCCGTTCTGCCTAAAAGACGCGGCGTCCCCCCCCTGGAGACCTTCGCCCCTCTCAAGTCCATCCTGCCCTGCGACTTCCACCTGGTGAACCTGCGCAGCATCCACAGCCAGGTGAGCAGACGCAATACAGACTGAGTTTGGTTGTAACGGTTTGCTCGTGTTGACTTTTGAATTGACCCGTGTGTCTCCTGTGTGAGCAGAAGGACCCCCACTCTCCGTCTGCGTACACAGCTTTGATTCTTCACCGGCTGGCGCTGGACTGCGGCCTGGAGGCTCAGAACCTGGGCTTTAACTGCACCACCTCACAAGGCCAGGTCAGGGGAGACACACACACACACACACACACACACACACACACACACACACACACACACACACACACACACACACACACACACACACACACTGCCTGCATGCACTGGTTAAATACTACTGTATATACTTCTACTCAACTACATTTGCAGATGAAATGATTGTTCTTCTTTTCACTTACATTTATGTGTCAACTGTAGTTGTTTAGTTTTCAGATGGATATTAAATAATCAGTCGATAAAATATGTAGCATTATTACTGGTTAAACTAACAAACCATAAATAAAGTAGTTAAATTAAAGATCTGCTTGAATATAAAAGCACCAATAATAATAATAATAATAATAATAATTCACAAAATGTTTCATTGTATGGGGCCATTTTTCAAAATTAGTACTTTTATGCTTCTAACTTGCTGTTAATAATGTGACTCTATTTGTACTTTTACTTAAGGTAAACTTTATATGCAGAATGTGTACTTGTGATTGAACGTCGTATGTGTGTTATTGCTGCTTTCACTACTGTAAATGATCTGAAAAATGGCTCCACCATTGGATTATTTTTCTACCTGCTGTAAACTAAACTTGAAATTCCCTGATTTTCATATTTTTGAACAGCCTAGTGTTATGCTGTTGTTATCTTCTTGTTTGTTTCTACCCTTTTTCTGAGTGATACTTTACGTTTCGAGTGTTTGTGTACAGACTGTGAATGCAAATCTGAATTCATTTGCATTCTCAATTTTTGCATCCCAGCTATTTCAAGTTTTTAACTAACACCCCCTCCCCTCTCTCTGCAGCTGAGCGTCTCGGGACTGTTCCGGACCCTGGACCTGCAGCTGCTGCAGCCCATGTCCCTGACCCTGATGCACCCCAGCACGCCTCTGACCAACGACTCCTCCATCAGCCTGGACCCCATGGAGATCTCCGCCTTCAAGCTCAAACTGCGCTAGGAACCGTCCAGAATAAATACAAATAAAAACCCTCCAGACTTCTTGGCCCTATGCTGGCCACACACTAGCAGAGGGGGGGTCTCTCTGTTTCTAAAGCAGAACCACAAACACTTAAGCCTGGAGAGGAAGGATCCACTGTAAGGGGACGGACTGCACAACAGGGGGCAGGCGATAGCTGTCACCGTGGACATAGGAGAGCAGCAGAACCCGGGTGAACTCGCAGCTGCTCCAAAAAACAAGAAGGACTGCCAGGATGGCTCCTCAGATACGACCAGGGTCTGTGTCTGAAATGGAAACGTGTTTGGTTCTGTTTGTAAGAACTCTGTCTTTTTCTATCTCCATCCTGGACTGAACTACTGAATGTAAATATCCCAAATGATGGGAGGGGTTAGGGGGTGGGGGTGGGGGGTCTAGGACTCATTCCACATCAGAGTGCAATTTTACAAAGCTTTATTTGGTGTATGGGTTGTTGTTTTTTATGTATGCAATGAAGAAGACACATCACGGCGATTTGTTTTTGTACTTGTACAACTTTCTTTTGTTTTCCGACAGACTCGAATGCAGCAAAGAGAATGTGTGGTCTCCCTTCAGCTGGTGGGGAGACCCGAGCTGCGACTCTTTAAGTATGTCTGAGTCTAAAGGACCCAACGGCAGTCACTAAGTGATAAAATGTGATCATTAATCATATCAGACTGTTCTCCTTCTGTTCGCTGGTTTTGTGTGTAGATAGTCGGGAGACTTTCTTTCCTTCACTTATTTTTCCCTCTCCGAGCTTCCTCCTTGCTGATGAGAAAACTTAGCATTTCTGAGCACATGTCCATCATTCCTGTACTTGTACCACTGGTGAGGGGTGGTGTTGGGTACCATACTGTATGCAGTAGAGGACTAGGCAAAGACTATCTCGTATATCCCATACGGCAGATATATCAGTATGTGTGTGTCTGTAGAGTTTGTTTATGTGAATATTTGAGGGATTTATTTTTTTTGGGGTGTATTGAGGTCACAGTGCACTCTATCAGGGACCATTCATAGTACTGTTAGGAATCATCCATCCGAGTGTCTGTGGGTCATATTATAGCAGGACAAAGAGAGCTTCCTGGTGAAGATTTCGAGCAGAAATGAAAGGGTTAGTTCACCCAAATTACAACAATTACATGTGGTTTCTGGCTATGCAGAAGAATTTGAAATTTGAGTTCTATAGAGCTGCAAAAGCAAATTTGAATCTATAAAATGTCCGACAATTATGAAGAATGCCTGAGATTGTCGTAATCACTTGTTTTTGTACACACAGCAATCCAAAACCCAGAGATATTAAAATGTTTCAGACATTTTCAACTGAAAAGTAGCGTCATCATTTGAGAATCCATTGCATATTGTTGTATGAAACAGTAAAGGGTTAATTTATTGTATACTAACTTCAATAAACATTAACCATTCAGATTATTATGTAGCTCATCTGACTGTAGTGTGCCGTTAAGACACAGCAATAAGGTGTGAACAGTCTGTAAAGGTGGAGCACTGTTTCTAAAGGAGATGTTACATCCTTTTTAAGATGTCATTTTGTAACGCAGCGCTATCAGTTACATTAATTCACCTCAATTGGTGGTTTGAAAAGGGATTCCTCCTAAAACGACTCCTAAACCCAAAACTGCCTGCATGTCAAGATACCACTGTGATTAATGACTGTAACATTCTTAGATATTTTTGTAATGTGGGTGTACTGACCCTTTAAAAAGACCAGTCTTATCTAACCATACACAGGGATCCTCAACACAGAGACATTTTCTTCAACTGAGCTGCAGCTCCACACACGGGGCTTCTTATCCCGAGGCTCTCATCCTTTTTCTGGTGTGCATCCACAGCGGCCGTGGAGGATGTTGTCAACCGTGTCCAAAGTGGCGCCCGGACATCCCGCAGCTCACCTGTGTCCCACTTTGTACTGCCCCACCGTCTCTCCCGCCCCAGTGAGCTCCATCACCAGTTTTTCGTCTTCATTTTCCACAGGAGGTCTGCGGCTGTGTTGCCCTCTGGTCTGATGTCTGCTCTCAATACATTCTGCTCTCTGTCTGCACTGTAGCCCCCCCCTCCTCCTCCTCCAGCTGCTTCAGAACAGACTTCACTGCATCCTAAATTGCACTTTCTCCTCTGGTTGACCTCGTCACAACCTTCTCTCCTGCGTCTCTGATCTGTTTGTTCAGAGGTAATATATGAGGGCATGGTCTCTTCTGTACTTGTGTATTCATGATGGATCAAACTGCATTAGAACAGAGGAGATGGGGATTGAATAAAGATCCAAATTAAAGGACAAAAACGTTTCTCTTTATCTAAAAGCAATTAATTTGTTTCAGTCTCTAAAGCACTGGTGAATCTGTGTTTTCATGCTGGTTTTTTTCATCCAAAGATTACATCTCTATCAGTAGGGGGCAGCATTGAGTCAGTACAGGCTGTGCCTACAGATGATTCCTGTCAGATAAGTATTATAAATATCTCTGAGGCTGTCCAGTGTTTACTTATCTGTGTCCACCTGACATAGAACTGAGCAGCTTTAAAATCACAGGTAGTTACCTCGGCACGTTTCCACCTTTGTGTTCACCTCTCAGAAAAAGGCATCAGAGACAGTGTTGAACACGACAAGAACTCCAAAAGTCCGGTTTCTTTGTTGAAGCATCATAAAAATGGATTAGGGACAAGGGCAGAAAGAATGGCTGCCTGAGACTTTCTCAACCCTTCTGTGAGAAAATTGGAAGGGAAACTGAAAGTCGTCTGTATGCCTGAGCATCAGATGGGATAATGTTTGACCAGCTGGAATAATGAGACTGGAATCTCAGTGTCCAATTGATTTGAATGTGAAATCAGCTAATAGCTCTCTGATTTGTTTTTTCAATTAATGTCATGTTTCTTGTTGCCAAGCATGATTCAGTGGACAGCATGGCACAGAACATGACAGCTAATAATAGCCTACAAGCTAAAGCACATAAATGGAAGACAGTGAAAACCAGCTCTCAGAAACTGGAAATGCAGGTATGAATCGGCAGACAAAATACTTTCAAACCCATCTGGATAAAAATAATAAATAAAAACACTAATTTACGCACACGGTTATTTTCACACATGCATTTATAATAAAAAAAGCAAGAGGCACCGGAGGTTCACTGGATTGTGTAGCCTGTTCTCCCGGCAGATCTAATTATGGGCCACTGAATGAATGTACCTTCACCCATGTACCCAGTTACCTGGCTCTGCAGAGGCGGATACAAAGGGAAGCGGCTAATGAACAAAGCTGCTACCAGCTGCTATTGTTTCCCCGTGTGCATACAAACCGTCTCCATTTATTTCAATTTCAACTTTAAGGGGCCACCATGTTGAAGCTGGATAAAAACGTTTTCTTCAGGGCTTTTTGGCACCAAACTCCCTGCATTGGAGAGCGAGGAGGAGAGAAAACCCTGGCACCCTGTTAAAGCTAAACGCCCGTAGTGAAGGGAACACATTTGCTACGAGATATACCGCCATGAAGAAGTGATGAACCATCTGCTATCTCCCTTTGTGTGTCAGGGGCTGAGAATGAGATGCATAAAACACTAAGAGTTTAAGAAATCTGGCACACAGTTTATCTATGCAACAGCAAAATTGGTTTTATTCCAGCGTGAAACTGATCTCCACAATATTAACATCCATTGTCAGTTAAATAAAAAAGGATATAAAACAAACATAGAAAATGCTGTACAAGATATCATGACTACTATTTTAGTCTTAAAATCCAAAGGCTTTGACTGTACGTAGCTAGTTCTAGATTAGGACATAAAGCACGTGTTTGTTTATCAACGTATATGGCGCTCATAATAGAAAAGGAAGGAGTTTTCCCTGACGTCCTGGGAGAGGAGCCCCAAATCAATATATGCACTGTGGTGAAAATGAAGTGAAAAATGATCTAATTTCTTACTGTCAGCTACCGGGAAGAAAGTAGTACAGGTCAGCTGAGCAGCTAAGGGCTAAGTGTATCTTCATTTCATCCAAAAAACAGTGCTACTCCACAACAACTCAATGAGATTTTATGACTAATATATCTCATACGTCTGTGCTGCGGTGGCAATTCCCTCTGGGACTTGATTGAAAACAGAGCATCCTCCACATTTCCCTGCTTATCAAACAGCCGGCGGGATGTTTTATTATGCCGTCCCAGTACGCCACAGAAATCTTCAATTTAAAGTTTTCTTACTATTAATGAACAACGCTGTCAACTTCACGACCGCTGGCCCAATCTGCCAAGGAATCTGATACAAATATACCTCCAATTTATTATGTGCCTTTGCTGAGGGCCAGGTGTTTTTGTTGGGGATGAATCAATGCATATCTCAGAAAGAAATGCGCTCCACTGGCTCAGAGAAGCACTCCAGACATCTTAAACATGGAGTTCACTTCCCTCTTCAGAGCGTACTCTTCAGCCTGTCAGGGCTGTATAATGTTCCTCTGTACTTCTGGAGGAGCTTTCACAAGTCTGAATAAATAAGCCTGATAAAGTCATAAGAGCTCCGAGACAACAGTGCTATTTCAGAAACTGGGGGTGTGGAGTTTGAAAAAAAAGGGCATTAACCAGGCAGAGGGAGTTTACAAAAGGTGCTTTTGAATTGCATTATGGGATTCAGGGTTTTAGATGTTACTTTGGAATAGAATCCAGGATATCTCAGCCTCTGCTGCTTTGATTTTTACATATTTCCTCAATTTCTTCTTCCTTTAAGCCCACAAACTCTATGGGAGTGCAATACCACATTTCTATAAAACGCCTTCCACAAATTGGTCAAAATATGCTAAGCAGGTCATCAAAGAAATAAATAAGTAACATTGTTGCATAACACCTCAAATTGGTGATGAAGGTGCATAATGAATACATCTGACATCAAAATATAAATCAAATAAGATACATTAATAAATACATGAACAAATTGATGTGCTGTCGGACAGTAAGGCCTGTGTTTGTGTGATCCTCCTTCATGTCTCAGCTCAGCACAGTCAGCTCTAAAGGCTGACTCTAGATCAGGCTCTGCGTCCTGATGAAAGCTGTCCTCTCGCTGTGCCCGTCCCCCTCCTCGCTGTCTGATTCAGACTGGTAGGTGATGGTGTCCTCGTCCCCCCACACAGTGGGGATCCCCTTGTAGCATATCCGGGCCTTCCTCTCCTGTCCTGGGCCGAAGCCGAACCCGAAGCCCACCCGCACCCCCCTGCTCTCTGAATACACAGAGGGCAGTTTGGTCCTCCAGCCCAGAGAAAAGCCCCCTGAGCGCACCTGCAGCAAGAGGAAGACCCCGGCGAACGCAGCCAGGATGAAGGCACAGCTGAGCACGGCCACCACCACAGGTAGCTGATTGGACGGAGCTACGCTGATCCCCGGAGGCTCCTCCCCCTCTCCGCTGTCATCTGCTGCTGCTGGACTCTCCTGCTCCGAGGGGGCTTCGTCCCCCTGCAGCCCCCCAGCCAGAGGGGACTTGCGCTGCACCTGGTTCTGGTGCAGGCAGGAGGTGAGCACCAGGTGGCTGTGGGGGGGGCAGGACAGGCAGTCTGTGGGGCCGCTGCCGGAGCAGGTGAGGCAGGCGGAGCTGCAGGGCAGGCAGGCCTGCACCGAGGACAGGTCCACCCAGTTCTCCAGAGAGAGGTTCAGGAGCTGGGGACCGGAGGAGAAGCCCGGAGGACACAGCTTCACACAGCCCTGCAGGAAGAGGGAGGAGCCGGGGCTGCACTCTGAGGGGGGGGGGGATAACAGGGAGATTAGGTCATATGCAGTTCAATAAAATATCCAACATTTTCCCTGAAGTTAACTGAAAAGGACCACATCATTTAATAGTATAATTTGTTATTCGCTAAAATTAATTATTTTGTTTATAAATTAACTGCAGTCGAAAATGGCACAATTCTCTTCTGGAAAACCAGCAGAACCTCTTATTTTTAAAAGCGGAAACCATCCAACGCTTGGTGTTTTTGATTAATACATTGGCAAATCTCTATTTCCCAGAGCCCAAATTGCTCTCCTCAGATTTGTCTTTTGTTTCAGTCTCAAACTAATACAATTGTTTGCAAGACAAGCACAATTTCCAGCCCAAAAAACCCAGCAAGCTCATATTTAAGAAGCTGGAACTGACACATTCAATATTATTTTTTCTTGTGAATTAACTTAAAGGGTCAAGTGATAATCTAGACGGAAAATAGAAAGAGAACATACAGAGACAGTAAACTAAATTATTCAATCATTTTGATGTTTAGGAAATGAAATAATAGTGACTGTAAGTAGCTGTTGAGCTCACATAGTCGATAAGCAGTTGTTGAATTCCAAAACATGTCTTAACCTTGCCTTGAGTAGAACCATCAAATCGATTTAAACCAATTGTATTTTCCTTTAAGTTAGAGATACTGTAATATTCTTCATATTTATTTAAATGTATGCTTAGCATTTATTTAAAACTTTGCAGAAACATATTTCCATATTGCACTCATCCTCTGTGCACTGACAAGATAGTTCATTTGTTAAATGAAGGCACAATCAGTAAATGGAAGATGTGACAAAATGAACGTTGTGTCCTTTACACACCCCCCCCGTATAGTTATCGCCAATTTCAAAGCATCCTTCAGATCTGAGGCCCTGTACAAAGTGTGAACAAAGTGTTACCACTGACTCTTGAAATGTATTTTAACTAAATGATGAAGGAGTCTGGAACGATGAATAAGAAAGTGTGTGAAATGCTCGGAAGCAGGATGAAGCTTCCTCTTAATGAGGGAGTCATCCTCCCGAGCGTTTGTTGACAACGTAGCACCTCTCGCACTGACGCAGTTTGAATGTCCCCTGCTGCTCCTCCATACGTCCCACACTCAATGATTCAAACTAACATAACATATGGCAATGTGCATATTCCTAGTGCGCTCGTAAACAAATGCTAAAGAGGAATGAAAATGGGCAATCTGTATTCACAACCTTAGCGTTTTCACAAGTGGAAATACCTACCACTGTCTGGCCAAAAGCCTGTTTTGTAACAACGAGTGAGTGCCAGCGCCAATACAAATGAGCCCACTCCTCTAAAGGGGCTCCTGTTGAAAGTTGGTGCGTGAATCTCACCGATACAGATCTGCTGGGCATCAAACGTCTTGCAGCTGTTGTTGGACGGCCGAGGGAAGTCCGAAGACGAGGGGTTGATGACGCTGGGTCCGGTACCCCACAGGATGAGGGTGAACTGACTTAACACAGCTGAAGGAGACAGAGAGACAGGAGGAGGAGGATGAGGAGGAGGAGGAGGAGGGGGAATTAGTCTATGGAAGAAAATAAAAATTGAACACCTCTCAGAGAGGTAACAGTGTGAACTGGCTGAGAAGAGGATATGGGGGTGGAAGAAAAAAGAAACAAGTGATGAAAGCGGACCCAAACACAGCAGTGGAGGAAGAGATGCCTTCCCATCTTTTTTTTTTGGCAGCTCAGAGTAAACAAAGACACACAAGAGTTCTAGGACTTTAACGAGTTAACTCTTCTTGACAATATGCTGCTGTTTGCCTTTTGAAAGAAATGCAGCCCGAAACCAGCTAAAAATATGCTTAAAGCTAGGGTTGGAAATGTATTTTAGGAGCATTTCCGAAAGCAATGGACCTACAGCATTACATTAATCAAATACTTGTTGTTTACGCTTCGTATGATATGTTTACATTCATAATGATGATTATGTGGGAGTGTTGCCAACTGGGTTAGATTTAGTGACGTTGGGAGCTTGTACTGCTAACAGCTTGTATTAAAAAAAGACTTGGCACAGTTCTTTTTTAGTTGGAAAATGTTGAAACTCTACATTTGCTGGCTTTTCAATACGTTTATAATCAAAAGTGTGCCAACAAGTTTCTTGCACAAGAATAATTGAATCTGCATATGAGTGCTTTTCCCCTGGCAACAAAGAAAATTTGTATAAACCGAATCATTAGAGGGAGACAGAAAAAGCGGAGGATATTTGAAGAAATACGAACATATGCACGAAAACTCTAATTAATGAGGGGGCAGCGCATGTTGGCATGATGTGATGTGACCAGAGTGAACAATTAATGGCGATGAGTGAGGTTACCATAGTCACGTCCATTAGCTGCCACGTTTTCTATTTCCAGTGTCCATTCCCCTTGAGGGTCCTCGCCCCATGAGTGGGTGGTCATGAAGGCCCAGTCGTTGAATCCCTCTGAGGAGAAGTCATTGGGCCTGACAGAAAATGTGAGACAAGTTGTTTGAGACATGGTAGAATGCAGAGGTTGTGTTTCTTTCCCGAAGAGTATACCAGTGGGAGTATCTGTGCAGAGATAACAATGAGGAACATGCACATTAGGTTTGTCTCCGTGTGTGGAAGAGACGGAGGGAAGAGAGATTGATATCATGACTCTCTGCTGGTGTGTACAGATGTGTGTTTTACAGTGTACCTGGGGAACAGCAAGGTGGATCGTGTGCCCAGTGGGCTGATGAGATGAATGGCCAATTTCCCTCTCTGGTTGTGTGAGAGGGTGAGGCGAGCCTGAACGTGTTCCACAGAGTTAACGTACTCCGGTCGTCCCCAGCAGCCATCCACGCTCTTGCTGAACACCAGCTTGTTCCCGATGTCCCTGAAGGTACGGGGGGGGGGGTTGCGGTTAATGTTGTGTGAACTCAATAAATGGACACGGACAATAGCGCTGTGTTGCAAATCTACGGGACTGTCCCCAGCTCCGAGGAGAATACGGTCACATCTATCAGCCTGAGCTGCATGATAAACAGGAAGTGCTCATAATGACACTGTTGTTTACACACAAATAGAAACGGAGCTTCAAGTGACTCTCCTTACCTCGGTTCTGTGAGCATGTTGAGAACACACTGATGCTGTGGCCCCACTGTGGTCCAGTTCTGCGCCAAGGACACCATGGCGCCTGCATCCAGAAGCCCGTATCCGTACGAATGGCTCACTGTGGACAGAGAACAAATAATGAGAACGGCAGCTTGGTGGGAGATAACATCACATAAAGGGAAATGACTGTCATTTAAAGATCAGCTCTTTATTGTTATACTATGCCGTTAGATTTAATTGTAAATACACATCATAAATGTAGTTTTTTATTTACCCAAAATCATTTTTGAAATCCATTCCTTACAGTTCTAGTCAGAGGTGGGAAGTAGTGGAGTACAAATACTTCGTTACTGGACTTAACTAAATGTATCTGGTATCAGTACTTTACTCCACTACTTTTTTTCGACTTTTTACGTTTACTTCTGACATTTTTAACACAAATACCTGTACTTTCTACTTCTTACATTTTCAAAACAGGTTAGTTACTTTAATTTTAATCTGTGTTTGGTGGCCTGATCATTATTGTGGGGGAAACTTCTGTAGCAATGGAGAGTCAGGACTCAGAGAGGTATGAGGAGAGCTGGAGCTTTGATGACAAACACTGGTGGTTTATTTGGAGTTACGGCCGGAGAACTGACAAGAGGTGGTGTGTCACGAGTTGACCCAGCGGTTGCCAAACCAATTCTGAAGAACTCTTTCTGTAGCTCGAGGTTTTAACTAGTTCGGAGTGTAATAATCAACATTCTTTATCAGTGAGACTAAACAATTATGGACCCTGAATCTAACTAAACCTCTCATCCATAGAAAAGAATGTGCGCCAGGGAACCTACGTCCCTGAACAGTAAACTACCTCATGGCGACTTGTGCTCTGTCATAGACTGGCAACAACAATGCGCCCAAGCTGCCCCTCCTTAAGAGAGATAGCAGCAATACCCAAGGCCTTAGACCTATGCCATGGGAAAGGAGACAGTGAGAGGAGAAAATGATGAACTGTGTCAAAGGTTGAATACCTAAGCAAATTATTCCCTAACAATTATTATTTAGAGTCATTGCATTCCTATTGATTTGAACACGATCCGTGTATCCATCATGTCCTGGTCTTCTCCAAAGACGAGGGACCAATGAAAACGTTGTCATTTTGCCGTTGTTCAGCATCGAAACATTTATTAGCTAACAATTACATTATTGTCCTATTAATATAAAGGGAGGTCAGTTACTCTTTAAAACAGATGGTAGTTATGCGTACTTTTTACTTAAGTACATTTCGAAGCCCATACTCCTTTACTTTTACTTGAGTAAAGAAGTTTAGTCAGTACTTCTATTTTTGCCAGAGTATTTTTAAACACGAGTAGGCTATCTTTACTTCTACTTGAGTAAAGGACGTGTGTACTTTTGCCATCTCTGGTTCGAGGCAAAAATAATGTCAAGGTTTTTTCTAAAGGTGGAGCCTTCTTGATATCAAGAATTGAGCAGATTCCAACACCTAAACATGTACTACTGTACCATCTGAATTTAGCAACCCCTTAGCTCCCACTGCCTCTGCTTATACATCCATTACTCTCCCCTGTGCCGTGCATGAGCATGAACACCCCCTGCTGCTGATTGGCTGGAATAGTGTTGTGTACAGCAGCGCACAAACAGATAGACAGCTCAAGGGCTGTGAGGAGGTATTCGCTGAATTTGACAAAAAGTGTATTGGATTACAGTTGCTGACTCCACCTTTTGTGTGCTGCCATTACCAGCTATGTAGTTAACGAGGCTGGAAAGGACGTCGGTGGTGCACTTCTCAGGTGAATGATTGTTTGGTGGCCAAGGACAAGACGCGTGTTCATGTTTGTAAATCGGATAAGAAGCCGTGAAGCTAATGGGGTTGTCGTTCAGAGTCAGAGGTCTTGTGTTGCATAGCAGCTGCTGTATGACTCAATGAGAACGTCTGCTCTGCCTGAACACTGACATTACTGCTTCATGCAAATATGCTTTAAAATGAAGCCAGAAAAATATAAAATATAAATTATTTACAGTTGATTCACTGATATGATATGTATGTTGTAGCAAACAAGAAACAGGATTAGCAATTAGAGTGGAGATGAAACAGCCAATCACAAGTAACCAATTTGACCCACATTTTTTAATTGGCTGAAATTAGGGCATAATGTAACGCTTTGTCAAGTTGGTCGACCTTGTTCTGTCATCCCATTGTTGCAAAAGGGAAAAAAAGGTAGTGGAACATGAAGGCAAACGTGATAGCTCTCAGAGCAGGGGGTCTGAGTGAGAGGTGGTTATTGTGTGCTTAATTTTCCGATTCAAAATAGAGTTTCATTGTATAACGCATGTGCTAGAAACCCTTTTTCTGTGCTCAAATATGACACAATAAACTATAAATATCTGTGCTGGATTTCGACTCGTCGGCCTCTACCTCTGCGCCCCCCCCCGTTGGTCTTCCAGTCTCCGGCGCTGAGGTGTCCGGGCCGGGACGTCCTCACCACCAGGTGCTGCATGTCCCTCCAGGTCAGGTTCATACTGCAGGGACACAGGAAGGAGAGCAGAGTCAACCTACTGCCTTTCAGTAATGTAATAGCTGAAGGTATTATGCACAATATTAAACAATACACACAGGTTTTGCTGACCCCGACTGTTCGACAATACAGCGGAGGAAATACGAGGAGATGAGGGATATAGAAGGTCAGGAGTCTGTAGACCAGGGGTGTCCAAACTCTTTTCACAAAGGGCCACATACAGAAAATATACGAAGGGCTGGGCCACTCACTAGAGGTATATTGCCTCATAAGTTAGCAAAATTAATCAAATGTAGGTAAGTTATGCTTAATACTTGAATATGCTTTAAGAAAAACAACAGCTCTCCATTGGGTTTCATTTATTTTGTTGGCAGCTCATTCCTTAAAACAGAAGCCTCAGATTGCTTATAAGAGGAAATAAGAAGGGTTTATTTCAAGCGTGTTATGAAAATAAGTTATTGGGCTTTTTTCTTATCAGCGTAGATTTGATATGATATTTAAAAATGTTTTCAACTTGAATTGAGTGAATTTGTTTGAAAAGTGGGCTTATCAACACATGAATACTACTGTTTAATATCTGTTTTCATCTTTATTTAAGAAGTATAATACAAGACAAGTTTCATTTGTGGGCCATACTCCATTATACTTTTTGAATTTGTTGAGGGCCGATTAAAAATGGCCCGCGGGCCACATTTGGCCCCCAGGCCGCAGTTTGGACACCCCTGCTGTAGACACACCTGAAATATGATCCACCTGAGCATATACAGTGAGGAGGAGCAATACATTTCTGAAATATAATATTGAAACTTAGAGGAAGCCCTGAGGTGTGTGTCAGTCATCCATAACAAAGGTAGGGGCTCACATTATGATTTTAACACAGGTGTAAAACACCAGTATTAAAGCTACATCATAACCTATGGTGTTTAAGGGCAGGGAACATTGTAAAATATTGGCTAGAACACTGCAGAGGACCGAGTCTAGACCTCTCTGTAATGATAGTTTCTAATGGGGTCGGGGATTGGGGAATGAGGTCACCTTCCACACAGTAGAAGCCCAATAAAAAAAGTGTTTTTGTATTATGTATTTATTATTAGGCACAGCAGGGAAACATTCAGAGAAAATGTCAAAAATGAAGGAGAAAACCCTGCTCGGTGGTTTACGATAATCAAACCGTGAATCACATTGCTTGCAGAGTGCAACACGACAGAAATAGAAATTGCACTGTTGCGCATCATCTCTGCCGTGCTCCGCATCAGCATTCACATCTCATATCCTCTCATGTGTTATTAATGGACAAGATCACCCCCCCAACCCCCCACCCCCCATCTACTCAATGTCACCTCAACCAGGAGCCAAAGGGGGGGGAATAATAAAATAATAAAACAAGCAGAAAGCCAAAACTCTCAGCCTATTAAATGATTCCATCTCTGTGAACTCCAGTGTGGTCCCAGTCTGATAAAGCAGCTCCCTGTTATTACGGCTGCCTGTCAGGAGGGGAGCAGACGCTGACTCCACTCTGATGTGAAAAAGGGAGAGATAGTCTTTGTGGGGTAAACTTCGGGGTCTGTCACTCAGTGCCCTTCTCTCATGATATCAGAGGTGAGATAAACCAGGCTCTGCAAATGTAAACCTGATGTCAACACTGGGAGGTAATCCTGATTTGATTTTGACACCTGTCAGCGGCACGTTAATGTGGAAATTAAGTGAATTATGCAGAGTATGGGACGGCTGGCTGATAAGAGGACTCTACGCACCGCGAGATATGACTGCAGATACGGACATAATGGAGAACACATTAACGCTGCTGACAGAAACTTGGATTCTGACACTCCTGAGTGAGCGATAATGAGAGATTCCAGTTTAAAATCTCCACTGCCAGCCCTACAGGTACCTAGATGTCTGTGTGGGCTGCCGCTGCTGATTTGTGTGGCTAATTAACTGATTATCAAAAGCTTCATTTGCTGAGGAAAGAATCTGTGGGCTTGGATTTAGGCCAATGTCGACTCCCAGACGCCTGTTCGCGCACATACACGCTTCCCATGAGCATAGCAACTAAAGTTTACAATAAAACACGATTCAAAATGCGCTTGCTGTAGAAGGCTACAGCAGGGTTGAAAACTAGCTTTATTATAGGAGGGGGTTGTGCTGTTCTCACTCACTTAGCCTCCAGAGCCAGAGCGATGATCCCAGCAGCCAGCGGGGCAGAGGCCGACGTCCCCGTGTGAGAGTCTGTGCATTTCTGCCTCAGGTCTGTGGTCACCTTGGAGACAGGGAGGGTGCACAGAAAATACAGAAGGTTAGACACAGGTAATATGACACATTGACTTTCCCACATCAGCATGAGTGCAGATCAGGGGGAGGGAGGGTGGCAAAGGGGAGGGATGGTGATGAAGGGAGATTTGCCTGCAGCAATCAGAGGAGGCGGGAAGGGGGAGGCAGAGAGAATGATCCGGTAGGTTCAGTCTCAGGCCGATGGATCCCAGCCAAAGGGTCACTGAATGTCAGCCAAATCAGCCCCGTAAGGTCGGATGTCGGTGTTGAAACAAAGTATGTCCGCACTCCGGGTGCACTCAGTCACTGCCAACGCCAGAAAGCTAATGAGGCCTGTCTGTGTCACGGCGGGAATGACAAGAAGCAAGAGAGGGCAAGGAGAGCGCTGAAGGTCAGGGACGGATTCCTAGGTTGGCAACTTTTGGTATGACAGATTGTGGCACTAATGGCCATTACTCGTGGCAATACATCCATGTGTCCGAGGAGAAAACGATAGGAGGTGTCTGCAAAGGCCACCTAGTAGATATAGGTACTAGATAAAACAATGACATCATTCATTACTCATTTCTTATGTGCATTCACTTTATTGTTTATTTCTCATGAAAATAAACGCTGCTTTTCTGATTTTTAATTATTATTTTAACAATACAAATAATCCTTGGTGGGTTTTTTGACAAGTTCACCTAGGAACCTTTGATGGGAAATGTTAACTATATTGTGACATTTTATACTTAAAAAAATAGTCACAAAATATATGCATATTAACCTATCATTTAATACAAGTTAGTTGCTGCCCTAGAGTGATTTTGTTTGTGGCTTTAAAAAGCAAGTAATACACCTAGCAGTGTCTTATTACTCAGTTACACACAACCAGTACCTCACAAGGTGTCAGGAGACCAAATCTATCCTACGCAAGCTTCTTGTGAGTCAAGTGTGATTTGTTTAAAAGCCTGGGTCCCTGCTCTAGTTGTAACTTGACACTGTAGATACAAATGTACCAAACATGAAAATCTGCCAAAGTGAAGATAAATCCTCGTTCTGGATAGACGAAAGCTGTATGAACTCACTGATACAACAAATGATGGCTTATGGCAACTACAGCAGCAATACAACAGCAGTCGTATTTTAAAACGACTTCAATTTAATCTATTTCATGAGTTGTGTTCGCTTGCTTGAAGCATGCCTCTGGTGTATTTTGGAGGCCATGGCAGATTTATGTCCCTGAGGCAAGTCTTTCTTCAGATGACAAGCAGCTTGAAGGAAGGATCTGGCATCTCTCAGTGTTTGTCAAGCTTTGTTCGCTGATGTAACATATCACTCACTGTGATTTGGACAGTTTTATGCCTATTTGTGAGAGAAGATATTAATATAAAAGTACACTTGAAAAAAAGGGTTTATTTCTGATGCACCGGCCTCGAGTTGTGGCCAAAGCAAAGTATGAGGCGCAAGTTATTTCTGTGCTAGATATTCAAAGTATTCAAACAATCCTACACAAAATCTGGGAAGTTCAAAGTAGAAGTGTGTGTGTGTGTGTGTGTGTGTGTGTGTGTGTGTGTGTGTGTGTGTGTGTGTGTGTGTGTGTGTGTGTGTGTGTGTGTGTGTACACCCACTATCTGTTTCTCCCCCGGGTTTCCAGAGCTGTAAGTCGTAGCGAGAGTGGAGGAGCAGGGCTCGCTGTACCACGGCACGCTGCCGGACTGCGTGGTGCTGCTGATGGAGAGGGTGTAGATGCTGTTGGTGTAGCCGTCACAGTTACAGCTGTCCTGTTCCCGGCCTCCATTTCCCGAGGCCCACACAAAGATGGAGCCTTGCCCGCCACGTCCCTGAGGAACACAAGCACATTCATTACATATAGACACACAGAGAATAGGTTGAGAGAAAAGAGAGCTGGTTCAAACGTGACACATTAAGTATGATAAAGACGTTTTTCCTCGCGGCTTAAACGTCTTGTCACTTCAGAAGCAGTGAACCGCTGGAGGCACAACTCTTATTAATACATCATAACGACTCATTGCCGCATTACATCAGATAACAAACAGAAGAAATGTAATTACTAAATCTCCTCAAGCTGAATGTAATTTAGGGGCGTGATAAATTATGACATAGGATCTGGCAGTGAGACTGCATGCTTCCTAAACACACACACTGTATGAAACGTACATTTAGTCCAGCTAGGTGTGGACTTGTCAAAAAGAGGCAATTTTTGAGCAAAGCAACAAAGGGCTGTTATTTGTCTGGAACATTGCCTAGATTAGATCGTCCTTTTGTTCCAAGGCACAAATCCTTTTTTATGCATTTGTCTGCGGCTGATTAGATTACTGCAACTCTTTAATCGCAGAAATGCCCCAGAAATCAATATGCCTCCTTCAGCTCGGACAATATACAGCTGCCAGAGTGTTCTCAAGTGGTAGAAAGTATTCGCACATTTTGAACATTTTGGCCTCCGTGAGTTAGCAACCTATGGCCTTTCCAATCGATTTCTACGTTTTACAGCTTATTTCTGACTCTGGATGGTCTGGCTCGGCCTACACTGCTGACCTGCTGACGGCAGCTTGAAGTCTGCAGAGCAACAGCCGGGCCTTGGGGCCCGGCTGTTTGCTCTGCAGACACAGGGCAGCGGGGCCTCTGCAGTCAGGACTCCTCATCTCTGAAAGAGCCTCTGGGTGGAGAACGACCTCTGCCGCCTTTTGTGCAAGACATACATGCACATTTTTTAAATTGGGTTTTTAATTAGTCATACTATTGTTGTTGTGGATTATTATGCCTTTCTTCTTCTTCTTTTTCTACAATGCATTTAGAAAGCACTTTCTTTTTTCTTAAGCCTTGTTATTATCTCTGCCTTTGATTTGTTTTTCTGTGAAGCACTTTTTGAGTGTTTTTGGGGAAAATTGCAGAGTGAAAAAAGGTTATCATCATTATTCACATTTCTCTTAAGTATTAATCACACCCTGTCAGAAGAACATTAAACAATTAAAGTGAATTATGTCATCAACCCTATTTGAAGCCATATGATAACCACTTGTCTTCTACATAAGCTTTGAACCAAGTCGGCAAAAACAAAACAATAAACCCAATAAATATATATTATGAAAGAAACAGATAAAAGGCAGCGGAGGGACTTCCCACATGCTGAGAGCAGGAATAATGCAACAGTTGATGGCAACCAGACATTAATAAGGTCAGAGAAAACAGATGTAAACCATTCCTCCCTCCCTCCCTCCCTCCCTCTGTCTCGCTCAGCCACAGATACACAAAACGACACAAAAAAGATCCTAAAAACTAGTGTTTTGATGGCCAAAGCCGTAGGAAAGCTTTACTGCTCGGGTTGTAAAGATTGTGATTCTCTGCCTTTTTTTTCTCCCTGCCTACTTGAGTCTGGCTTAGCTGGCAAAAAAAAAAAGGTCCTGGCTGTCATCATCAGTTCCAGTTTTTTGGGCTTTGCAGTCCCGGTCAATATAAAGATATTGGAACCGTTGCTTCCTTATCACTGTTGTTGCATCACTGTTTTCTCTGACTCCGTTAATCACATTTTAACCCTTTAAGTTTACAATTGAACCTAAACACAGACTTCAAATGAGTTGAGGATTGCCAATTTATTTTTCCCTAATGGGTTCCTTCATCTCCATCTCACAAATTACCACATTTTTATGGAGACATTTGTATTCTACTGTATGTCCAATGCTGTCTGAATTGTACTGTATCATACCACAGGAGTGTTGAAGGTTTAGCAAATACTTCTTGACTTCCCGGCCCAATTTATGATCCTCCGCTGCCTTCGCTGCAGGTTACAGAGGCCAGACGATAACACTGAGGTGCCAGGGGTTATCTGGCTGCCAGGAGAACACACGCTGAACCAGAAAGGTCCTGCTGTGCAGCTGTCAGGCACTTTCTCCTCACTTTCACACCTTGAGATTTGCAGCATTTCACATTTCGGAATGTGACACATAAATCATTCTTTTCCACAGATAAAAATGTGCAGTATCATTCATTGATTAGTCAATTACAGTCTTTGAGTCTAACTATTGTTCCGCATCAGTGATTGCTGCTCTCATTCCATTTTCTGCTCTCATTCCATTTTCTCACATCTCACATTTATCATTTAGCTGTCGTGCAAATACCCTTCATTGCAGCATGCTGGCCTAAACTAAATGATGACATTATCCTTAGATAATATATCGTACTTTTGACTTTGTCTTACCCTTACCTAAAGAGCAGAGAACAGATAGCAAACTCACCTTGAGTTTGTCCTTTCCTACAGTGTATTTCAGGAAGATAGCCTCAATTAAATATTGATACAGTATGTTTGTAGAGCTGGAAAAGGGTTCCTTTTCTTGCTGGCATGAGATAAATAGCTCATTATATAGCTACAGATGTAGTTCAAAATGTTGCAAATTATGCTGACGGTATTAGCTTCAAGCCACGGGTACATTTGAGTATTTCACACAGCATATTCTTGTTTGCTTAAAAAACATTTTACTAATATATAATGTCTGCTTCCTAATAGATAATGTCTTTCTTCCAGATTCAACCTGAGCTCAAACATATCTCGGACACCAAATTGTTTATTTGAGCTATTCCTCAACTCAGCTTTACCCCCGAGCAGTTATATGAGGCCTAACCATAGTTTGTCCTCAGCCCCAACCCCTACTGTCAAGGCAATGCTATGGAAAACCCTGTTTTAATGAGAAACAGACGTCAGAACTAAAATGGCAGAGACATAGTCTGATACATCCTCTTGTTTTAACACTTTTTGGTATAATAAGATGGATGACATGTAACATGTACATTATTGAGCATGAGGGGTGCTGGTAAGCAGATGTAATTCCTTATGCACAGAAAAAGGCTAGCTGTTTTCAGTCTAAGCTAAGCTAGCCATCTGCTGGCTTCAGTGTGATTTTCACTACATACATTATGGCAGTCAATCTTCTCATCTATTTCTCTGCATAAAAGAAAGGGATTGGCATATTTCCCAAAATATCAAACAACTACAAGCGTATGTGAACCTTTTTAAGAGCTGATAATGGTCATGCTAGAAGAGGAAACAGGGTAGATTGAAAGTGTATTGCTGGGACTGACCTTGGTGATTCCCTGTAGGAAAGCCTCTTTAGCCAGCTTGGCGGGGCCATCCAGTGACTTGCCATCGTCCTCTGGGCCCCAGCTGGCGCTATAAATGTGGATGTGCTGCGGGTTAAGGCTCAGAGAGTGGGCCTCCACCACGTCTGTCACCTCGCCATCCAACATGCGAACTCCTGTAAAATGAACAGGCAAGGCAGCGCAGATTAGGTTACCACACGAGAGACGTAACAAGACGTTTTTGTGGAAAGAGTGACAGGATGACAGATGGTAAAAAGATCCTTGGCGTATTCATTTTTGCTTCAGATGGGTGAGAAGGTGTCAAAACCTGAAGAAAAGAAACTCTGCAAGAGATGACAGGAAGAAGATAAAACTTGTCATAAAAGTGAAAGAAATCGGTCAGACCGAGAAATTCCCATGTTATCATCGGCCTCAAAAAGCTAAACAAAAAACAGAGAAACAAAAGACATCACAGGAAAAACAAGACTTCACAAAGTTTCAGTTTTTAATGAGTAAGCGTACAAAGCTTCACCCACAGATGCTGCTCCGACAGATACTACATTATTTTACCGTTGCATAATCAAAAACCCAGCTGGTTGTAAAACCAAGGAAGGCTAGTATCGTGACCGCAACTAAACATACAGAATGTTTGGAGACATCTGCACGTACACATATATAGATATAAAATGAGCGGAGAGTTTACTGATCCTACCACAGACTGGTGTGTCCACGGGCTAGCTCTGAATGTCACCTTTCATCATACCTGAACATAACCCTGTCTGGCCCTTTGAAGTGAGCCGCGTCAGATCACCCCTCTGAACATTAATGGCTGTTGAAAGGCGTGAAATGAACCCCCCCTTAAATGAGGTCCATCACTGGGAAAGGACCCCCTCGTACCTCAATACTGTGTCCAAATTAAGATTTCAAAAATCCATTCTAGACTACCTGGCTTGCCCTGAAGGCACAAACACATGCCAGAAGGGACGTAGCCAAAGCAGTAATTACTCTGTTGGCGAGGGGATTTGAAGTAACCCAAGTTTGAATACTGAGTAGCCTGGAAGAAACAAGCAAAAATAAAAAGACGCATATCTTTGCTAAATAGACACTGCATTATTTGCACCGTTGATCATTATGCATGTGCTGTATTGAAGCGGTAATGATAATCAATATTGTAGCAATTTCTCATCAGCTGCCTGCGGCTCGGCGATTTGGTGTTAAAGACACAGCTGTGCCAGTTTCCTGCGGTTCCATCGAGTCAAAAGTAGCAGGTAGGAGAATGCAGAAGGGAAAACAAGGACAGTGTGTGAAAGGAGAAGCAGAGTGAGCCAAGTAGGGTCAATTACGGGTTTTAAACACTAATCATTAGGATACACAGATTTAGGATTCCCCTATGATCCTGACTGCCTGTGCACACACACACCTGGTATTTTGGAGCGAATCACATCTGTTTATAAACAATGCAGTGACCCGGCGACATGAACAGATTCACAGAGGAGTAATTGATGAGAACAGGGCCAACTGTGTCGAGAGATGAATGGTAATGAAGAAGAAGAAGGAGAGTTATGAGTAACATCTGTGAGCGAGGCTGCTCAGGGCTGCATTGGCTCCGCTGAGTCTTGTTGGCTGCCAACATGTCACTGACAGATTGTTTGGTGACAAAAGTTACTAAAAGCCTCCGCGGAATACTTCATCAAGTGCAAATATTTTCAGGAGCCAAAAAAAGCAACATTTCAGAGTTAATTTGTAATCACAGGTGCGATTTCTATCAAACCCTCTGAAGGCATGTCTTCTTTCTTAATTTCCTATCTACACATGCTGACAGCTTTATGGCACTTCAAACTAGTGCCTGTAATAAGAGTCTTATTTCATCCAGGGAGTGGATTTACGCAGTGGTATGAAAAGATGTCCAGTGGGTCGTGAAGACAGTATTCTTGGCATCAACATAAATCTAAATTAAGGCATCACAATGGCCTCAACTGAACACTAAAAAAATCAAACTTGCTTTTTATCTAATTGGCGGAAGAAAGAGGTTTACGGCCTAGTGCCAAATTAAGGTGGAGTGAGATATTTTAATTGCTGGTTAGTCTAGAAAAGATTCACCCGGCACCAACTTTTATCTGAAATCTACATGTTGCTAAGCATTCTTCTAGCAATATGAACAAAACCATAATGTATTCATTTTCAAAACCATGCAGAAAGGTAAAGCTATTTTCTCAGAGACAACGAATCAGGACACTAGCCTATCTCTGCTGCACACTTTCTCTTGTGCATCTAACAGGGAGTCAATCAAATGCAAAAGATAGTCAATGGATATCAGCTTTGAAATGTCTTACAGCTGATTCTAATTCAGGTCTCGGTGGTAATGGAGCCTAAATAATACAATTCCCTTCCACCTTAATTAGTTTGGATGAATATTATTAAGCATATTATTTCTAATTCAAATAATATTGAACTCATTTAAATGATTATTATTTTCCAATTACACCTGGTTCTGAATCAAAAACCCCAACGGTAAGCTTCACTCACCTCCAATTTTAGCGTTATAGGCCACACCCACACCGCACACGCCGTTGTTAGCAGCTGCTGCGACTTCTCCCGCACATCGAGTTCCATGTCTGGGAAGAGACAACGTCACAAAGGACATTAATAAACAAAAAACATGAAGAAGATTACAAATGGGAAATGTACACATCAAGCAGGAGCATCACAATAAATCAACCGAATACTGACAGCGAAAAACCAGCAATTGTTTGTCACCTCCTGAACTGAGCTGGGCTTTTAAACAATACTGAAGCTGAAGTGATGCTAAAAATACAACACAGTCAAAAAGAGAATCAGAAACCCAATGGCCCTTTTGTCACTGCAGTAGACTCAGAGATGCAACAATAGGTGTTAGAGAGGCCGACATGTCCCTCCGAATGAAAAGTCTATTAATTTAAGTGGTTTTAGAATTCAAGACTTACTTAATAACTACACAGAAAGCGATGACCTTCATGACGATTTCTGTCTTTCACACAACAATGGTTGGTTTTAAAACTCCACTGCTATGTAGTATGTAGTGTGTAGTAGAGTAAAGTTTATACAATTTCATAGTGAAGTATATAGCTTCATGACTTAACTGCTGTGAATATGACTATATAATGAATGCTAAGTGTCGTGCTCTTGACTATTTTTGAACAAAAGGTGGACTGATAGGGCTTCTCATACATTATGACTACTTATACACCTCCACAATGAAGTGAAGTATGGACACATAGCATAATACTCCATGCAGGATCGCATTGTGATTCAAGTACATTGAAGTTTATTTTGTTGCACTCTTTATTAATACAGTAGGCTATATGCATATCAAAATGTTCATGGTGAATTAATCGTAGAACATGTCCATGCATTCAAAATAATCTTTGGAGCATAGTGATCATTAAACATGAAGATTCATTCAATTTTACTGTCAATATTAAAACATTATGATTAATAATGCATTATTATAGATGCAATGACATGGACGACACTTCACTTAACATATACAATAATAACTTATGAAAAGGCATGGATTTTTATTGGAGCGTAGTCATAAAGCATTATTTGTAATTCACTATTACCGCCATCATAATGCACAAGAGATCTGTGCTTCATAGACAGTGTAAGCAAATGTGTGTTTAGACGGCAACATTTCTGTGCTTTTTGTATTAATTCCTACAAATCCCAACTGCTTTTCAGTGTTCAAAGACCTTGAAAAAACGCACTCACATAAGAATTTTCCATTCTTGTGTGTCTGTCTCGTGTTCAAAGTAAATATAAACTTTGATTCTTTTTTCTCTTGTCATGAATATTCAATGCGATAGAAGCATAGGTGATTTAAAACCACTTTTTTATGTACAGAAAAACAGTGTTTTTCCAACCAATTTGCTCCTGGATGAATGATCCAGACTATATCACAGCAGATACCTCTGGGTATATATAGTAGTATATAATGAGTACTTCCACAATCCTCCTCGTTTTAAACACAGCCACTTCAGACAGCTCCTCTTTTCAGCTCTTTTTTGTTTTAGCTACAGAGTTACAGAATATAGGCATTTCCCATCAAGAAGTGAAACATGATGATGAGACCTGTCTAAAACCAACTTAACCTTGACCGTCACTGGCCATTCAAATGAGATATGAGATGTTATCGATGTACATGAATTATTCACTGAGTGCCTCATTAATACCTTCAACCAGTCTTGAGTTTCAGAGAACAGACAGGTTCCCCCAGACACTTGTCTAGATGTCAAACTAGCTTAACAAACAACATTCCCTCCAACCCAAAAAAAGCATCATGCTTTATTTACCACAGATCCGTTCTTATAGAAGACAGTAAAACTACCAAACTGAAAACTTTACAGCTTTGAATAGTCTTAAGGCCAAAACAAAAGTAATCATTAGTGGGTTGGATTCAATTTGTTTCATTGACTTCAGGGGTTGACGCGGTGTGATCAGACTGCGAAATGGATGGCGCAGACAGATTTGGCATTTGGCATTTAACACAGGTCATTAAGTTTGTCTGCTGATTACAGTGCAGATCTGATTAGGAGGTGTACAGTTTCACACCCGTCTCTGCGTGAATGTTATCGGAACAAAGCTAATTACATCCACAGTATTGTTTTGAAAGAGCCAAAATGAATTTCTTTTTGATCTCCCAACCTCCCACTGATGATGAGGCAGAGGACAAAGTCATTTCACAGGGTCAGAGCAGGCTACGCCTCCAGCTGGGATCCTGATTAGACTCTGTGTAGCTCTGTGATACATTACCCACCTGCTAATTCTCACTCTTTGTTCACTCTTAAACATTTCAGCAAAGGTTCACTGCTGTATTCTTCCTCATTCTTCTCCTGACATTATTTTTTACACAAATGTCAAAGAACAAAACGCTTGTCATCAGAAAAGATGATGTGGAATAAACAACGTTGCCTTCTTACAAATCATTTATTTAGCTGTCAACAACTACAAGCATTGCAGGGATTTTTGAACAAGTAATCAACTGGCCTGACAGGGCACATTTTTCACTGACAGACATGCCCTTACAAGGACCTTGGCACAACATATTGCAGGGTGTAATACATCAAAAATTCAATTAAATTAATATCATTGCTATCAAGAGCTTAAACTACATTATTTTACTGTTAACTAGCTTTAATAAATGGCAGCAGTTGATGGAGACTTGACGGCTCCCTACAGAACCATATATGTGCTCGGGGGTTAAATTAGGACTTATTACTTGAGGAGGCAATTTCTTAGCAATGTTATGTAGCAGCAGGCGCTTATGAGAAAAAGCCACACTAAATAGCTGACCTCATAAGCACAAGAGAGTCATTATGATTTACAAAAATCAGTCCTTTTGTCTAATTATAAAAGAAACACCCAGTTGGTAAAGCTTTAGGAGGGTCCACAGTCTCAGATATTCAGCCTCCCGTTATGCTAATCTCTGTACAGCAGGACGTCTGCGTGTGAAGTGGCCTTTAAAGTAAGTCTCTATTGTTTAATCAGAGCGCTAAAGAGGCATTACATTTTAGCTCACTGCTAAACAAATGTTTAAATCTGACTGCCTGGATGTACTCACCCTACCACACCACTCAATCATGTTATGTTTGAGTGGACGCTCACAATAACAATCTGAGTGAAAAAACAATGAGAAAGACGGTGCTACTCAAGGACAGACCGACTTACTGCATTTTTATACGTTGATATTCCTATTTCAGAAGGAAATAGAATGTTGCAGTGGCTCCCTGCTGATCAGTAGTTTGTACATTTAATGAGCAGGGATAAAGAGCAAGCTCCAATTTATGAGCTCTTTTTACTTGGATACGATGCCTTAAAATGATAAACACAACTTCAGGTTTGCACTTGTTGTGAAGTTGTGAAGTTTAGCTTCAGTTCAGAGGCTTTTATATGTCACACTTGCTTTTGCAGTGTTGTTAATTTTCTCGTTGTGGAACACTACTGAGTAAACTCAGAGGCAGATTACCTCTAATGGGAACACATTCTTATACATTCAGTATTCAGGGAGCCTGAAACCATTCACACTGGCCAAAAACACATTTATTCAGCACTGTGGCCAGCCAGATGGCTCGGCCAACAATACTGCGCTAAGCTTACATTGTGGAGGCATTTGCAGTCGCATTGCGCTGCAAGAAACAGCTTCAAATGTCAACACTAGAAGACTTTTGTTTTAATAAGAAACAGACAAAATGCTTTGCCTTTTGAAAACATAAAGATGATCTGAGTGTATGTCAAGGATTTAAAAAAATAATATCTGATAAGAGACGCTGTGATTCCACCAAACAATGTCAGCTCAACTTGGAAAACAATGAAGCGCATTTTCTTTAGACTTCAAATTAAAACGGTGAAGCTTTGTTATGTGAAATGGTTTTGAATGCCTTAAGATGGAGCTACGTGCACGCACATTTATGGTTTCATCCACAGCACAGTAAACAATACTGTTCTGCTCCAGACAGCACATATCCTCACACCAAGGAGCAACAGATGTTAAGCCAGGTAGGGGATCGAGCCAGGATGGGGTGCGTGAACACATAGCCAGAGTGATTTGCCTGGAATGAATTCAGCCAAAGCAGCCAGACAGCCTCATATATCCAGGGAGGCTCAGGCGTTCCAGAGCAGACAAAAGTGTTTGAGGCGAAGTCACAATTCTATCTGTCAAACGTCCCTGAAATGAAATGATTTCCAAGACGGTTTACTGAAAGCCTCCTTTCTATATCCATTTGAAATAGATTGGAGGCGGTGTCAGACACAACGCCTCTAGGGGGCACGCGTAAGTGTAGTTTGAACAGTTAAAGTTTATTCAAGAGATGTGAGAACAAGGCGCTTTCAAAATAGTTCAGGCTCATCTCGGAGAAAGACAATCACGGTAAATAAATCATTGGAGTGCGAGTCGGAGGATGGCATAAAGCTACATGCTTTGTTCAAAAGACAAACTGTGGAGAAAAGAGCCGACAAAGCGTAAACACAGCTTCGATTAAAGGGCGCAGAACTTGAGACGCTCTATTCACCCAGCCAATGTGTCCTCCACTATCTCATCAGAAGGAGCAAAGGGACAGAGGGAGGTAATGCTTTTATCTCTCCTCCTCAGGACAAGGGGCCGTTTTTGGTAAAGTCCTTGCACTGCGATTTACTGGAGACTCCCAACACAATCTCTCTGGACATAATGCAACGTAACCACAGACCACAGAGTCAATATACTGTAAAGTGCAGTCTATCAATGCAAAGTATTCAGTATGTATCTTATGGAAGGTGCCTCAATATTGATCTAATCCAAAAACGAGCATTTACCCCAACCTGAAAAACTAAAACTTGAAACAACGGAATTCTGCTTGCAGCGAAGATTTAGACTTCGAGTTTAGTGTCTGTTTTCAGTGATTGATTTCCCCATGGCAGCATCAAACAAATGTTTTGTTTTTGAGGAGGCTCTTTTGAGGTTTAATTATCTTCCCCACAGTAACTATACTTACATTCTTTCATTTACATTGTGATAGATGGTGGGAAGGTTTGCCTTGTCTTATTACTGAAAATTAGACTGTTTCCAAGCAGATATAGTACTAAGATAATTTAAGGAACAACA